TTATCTGTTTGTCCTACCTCCCAGCCACAACTTATCTGTTTGTCCATCCTCCCAGCCACAACTTATCTGTTTATCCCACTATCCAGTCACAACTTATCTGTTTGTCCCACTATCCAGCCACAACTTATCTGTTTGTCCTACCTCCCAGCCACAACGTATCTGTTTGTCCCACTATCCAGCCACAACTTATCTGTTTATCCCACTATCCAGCCACAACTTATCTGTTTGTCACACTATCCAGTCAGTGATTTAGAGGTCATTGGTATATTTCTATACAAAAGAGTAATCTGGATGTCTCACACTATAGGCTGTAGATCATAGATACATGTGTTCATTTTAGTCGTTTAGTAACAAATTTAGTTTGAACGAATTATTAATCACACTAGAATATTGGCTATTTTATCTCTGATGATCATAATAACAGAAAATCACTAGAATGTTGAACAGATTTTCTCCAGTGATTATGAAGATGTACAATCAGGGTAGAATGTTGACTGGTTGTTTATTGTGGTCAGTTTTGTTGGTCTGATTCTGTGTTGTCATGGTAACCTATACCTACTAGTTTTATCACAGGAGTCACACACTGGTGTACTGTAGTAGTTTAACATTCCCACCAAACATTCCACCAAACACTGCCCACAGGACATCCTCTCTGCCTACACCTACAGCCCATATACTGTATGTGTCTGTGTGTATGATCCCGAGGAACTCACCACGTCCACTGATGAGTAGGACTCTGTAGTTGTCACGGTCTCCTATGATAATGTTCCCCACACTGTCATACACTACACCATAGGGGTTAAATGGTTTAGCTCCTTTATGTGATGATTGTTTATATGTACTGGGGATGTCACCTCTATATATAAACAGTTCCTTGAAGTCAGAGTCCATAACAATAACATGTTCTATCCCATCAGCACCATTATCCTTATTATTCCAATCAACCACTGCGACATTGTGAGTGACAGGACACTCTGAGATCCTCCATGGTGAACACACTAATGGCTTCCCAGTCCCTGTAACACTTGTAGTGAGTACCATTTGACCTTGTGTGGTAAATTTGGAGATGTGTTTGGTCATCCCCTCAATGACATGGTTACTGGCAGTAACACAGATACAGATGGGATACTCCTTGATGCTGAATATGTGTGTCGGTCGTCCTGATACCAGCTCCATGATGTTGTTTTCTCTATCACAGACCCACAGTGTGTTTGTTGTTGGTGACAGACTTATGTTGTTGATGACAGCTTTTTGTTTGACCTGCTGTATTACTTTCCCGTTCCTGTCCAGGAGAGTTAATGTGTTACTGTAACCTGCACTGGTCCACACCTGACCATCAGTGGTGGGGCATATAGAATTAATATCAACAGGAGACTCCCACTCCTCCAACACTTTGGTCTGTGGCAGTAGTTTGTACATAGTCACTGCCTTCTTTCCTTTTGGTTCTGACTGTTGTGATGTAGAGGATGGTTTCTGACCACCAGATGTCATGACTGACCCATCCTGGTCAGTTGAAGCTTGACCTTGATCTAAGGTGTCAATTTTCCCTAAGGCCAGTTCTAGGTGATGGTGAGGGGTTTTGTTCGGAGTGAAACTGGCAGTACCCAGGACAGGTTTTACAGGGAGACTTATTTGGGAATGAATTTCACATCCTGTGTCGTAGATTTCTATTTGAGAACCTTGCTGGAGTGCTGCTTTGCATTCTTGAATTTGTTGTCTGAGTTGCTTGTCGTACATTTCAAGGTCCTGTTTGTATTTCTGTATTAGCTTGGTATTATCCTCCTCCATTTTATGATAGACAGAGAGTGTCTGTGATGTAAGCAAGTCGAGGTCTTTCTTTAATTTGTCTGTTTGCTTTTTCAACTTGTCTGATAGATTCTCAAAATTGCTGGTGTTGTCTTTAAGAAGTGTATCAGTAGATGTGATGTATTCCCTAAGTTGTACCAGGTCATGTTTTTCAGTTCTGTCAATAAAGTTTTGAATGTCTTGTTTCTTTGTAGGAGTAATATCGCTGATTTCACAAGCATTATGGCCTTTGTGAGTAGATATCAGACATTTATAACAGACCAGCATATCACATTTCTCACAGTAAAGTTCCAGTGGTCTCCCCTTGTGTTCAGTACAGGTACAGAGAGGGATTTGACCTATGGGTGTTGCCATGTTGATGAAAAAGTTGAGGAAGAGAAAAGGAAGTCTATAAATAGACCCAAACAACTTGTCTATTATAACTGATATTGAATAACAGTCACAAAATAGACTTTATTTTATGTCTCTAAATCTTGACTTTACTCTGAGCTCCAATCCAGGCACATTTGTTCATATAACATAATTGTAAAGACACTAAAGCATAGCTACCTGATGATCACTTCCATTCCAAGCCTCAGAATGTAAACGTCAAGGAAACAGGTACATATTGTCATTGTTTATGTCCCCAGTATTGGAAACAAAGCCTGGAATTTAATTACATCTGGTTGTTTTGATGAATCACTTGTTTTCTGGCTCAGACCAAGGAGACATGTCTGGTTAATGTCAGTTCCTCATTGATTTTACAAGTCCACACTGAAAACGCTCTTCGGCCACCATTTGTAGATCTACCTGTTCAGACGTGTAACTAATCAGAAAATATTACTTCCTTGTTGAGCGAGGTTACCGATAGGCGTACAGAGAACTTAATAGGGTAGATTGTGGAGTAGGTCAATGTAGGTCATGTTTACAGACCGTGGTATTTATACATACCTACAGTTTTACCTCAGGTGTGTAGTGTCTGATAGTTTTATGTGTACATGTATTAGGTAACAAGACGAACCTTTAATGTAAGTTAATATGCCTCTGGGTTGATTGTTTATTACCTAAATTTAAATTGATAAAATTATCATGATTTTGTTTAAATATTATGTGAATTTGTTGTATTTTGTCAGCATATTTTATATTATAAAATACGAATTAAAATCTTAACACGTCATTAGTGCTTTCATCTCATCAAAGAAACTGTTATTCAAAATAATGCTATTTAAAGGAGAAATTATGACGTCATAAACTATAACATCACATAATAGTTCGCAATAGGGACCTACCTCCCATAGCAATATCACAGCAATACATGCATAATGATGGTCTTAATTAAGGTAAAGAGTATTATTGGTTTAGGATTTAGTATTACAATCAGTACTATTATGTATGTATCAATTATTATTAAAAAAAAACTTTCCCCGTGTGGGCCGAATTTGGGACCATTACATTACCTATCCAATATACTACCGATGTCACTACACCGGATCATTACTGATCCAATATACTACCGATGTCGCTACACCGGATCATTACTGATCCAATATACTACCGATGTCGCTACACCGGATCATTACTGATCCAATACACTACCCATGTCACTACACCAGATCATTACTGATCCAATACACTACCGATGTCACTACACCGGATCATTACTGATCCAATACACTACCGATGTCACTACACCGGATCATTACTGATCCAATACACTACCGATGTCACTACACCGGATCATTACTGATCCAATACACTACCGATGTCACTACACCGGATCATTACTGATCCAATACACTACCGATGTCACTACACCGGATCATTACTGATCCAATACACTACCGATGTCACTACACCAGATCTTTTACTTAGGAGTAAGTTTACAAATTTACTCTTCTGTAGACAATGGAAAAACGATAAAAAAAATCTGGTCGGAACTCGCGTATGTACATCCTTTAAAATACATAAGTTAACTCTCTACTGTAAACTATACATGAAGTAAGAACATTATAAAATATTAGTCAAACAGCACTGTTCAATCGGGGTCTAAGAAGTCTGATGAATTCAGCTTCCTTAGCCTCACGTTTGATTATGTTTGCATTGTTTATTTGATAAATAGGAAATATTTCCGGTAAAGCTGTCTGTTCGTATTTGCTGTCTGGGTACGGTCATTCTTGTTCGTAGCTCACCGCCCATTTGACAGATATAAAATTCAAAACAATTGTTATAAATCAATGTGTAAATTACATTACTAGACTTAAAATTCATATGTTTTTTAACCTGTAAAGTTAAAACTGTTTTTTAAGTTAACATCACTTCATTCTATAATAAGGTTACAAGTATCACAATGAATTGTATATTATATATTATATTATATCTGTACAGATGGTGTTAAGGCTGCCTGTTATAACTAGTTAACAGAACTTATTCTGTACTGCTACTTTAGTACAATCATTGTTAATGTATGTAGCACACAGACATTTGCTACATTTGTCTATTGCAAGAAATAAAGAATAAAGATTATATTCCATTGAAAACACAAGATAGAATGAACTGGAAGACATAAGGCCATGATATTTGGCCAGTAGGTACCTGGAACAGAGTGCTATAAACTTTCCTAAAATAAATGACCTACTACTTTCAAGATCAACGGGGCCAATATGTAAAAACTCTTAAGCAACTTCTTTTGCATTACCAGGCAGCCCTGGGCGATGATCTTTGTCTAGTAGCATGCCGGGATAGAATAGTATACAGTTTCATTTAGTTTGGAGCATTCTTAAGCGAAGGAGACTCAATATACTGAAATATTTGTAAAATTACTTTCATTAAGAACATTTTTCCTTGATTGCTTAAATATCCAGGTGAGTGATACAGGCCCTCTGTGCCTCTTGTTCTGAATAAAAGTAGGGTTTTTTTGTGACTTAAACTATCCATGATTACTTCCTTTAGTCTCAGTAAATATTTTGGGGATGAATTTATGATTGTTCATATTGAATTTAGTCTTTGCCATATTGTTTATATTGTAGGTCACCATATTGTTTATATTGTAGGTCACCATATTGTTCATATTGGAGATCACAAAACACAACATCTTGCAGCAATTACAGAAACAGTTTCTTCTTGGTTTTTAATATCATTGTACCTGTAAACAATAATTATGAACTTACTCAAAACATACAAATCACAAAAATCCTAAAAATCCCAAGCAGTTTGTCTTTCATTTTCATAGATCGATTTTTGGAGCATAAACTACTTTTTTTTCTGATTTTTTATTGGTGCACAAAATATACAAGTAGAACCTTTTTTCAGATTTTCAGCCTCAAAAAGTACCTGCGCAAATTACTCAGGTTTTTACGATAGGTCACATGATGAAAAATGTGTCCTCTACACCTAAAAAGATCTTTCTTGCCAACTGATGGGTCCTGATTTAAGCAACAATTAGTTTGATAACACAATTGTCATGAGCTCTAACAAGTTAAATATATATACATGTTTACTTTTGAGACTGATCGGCTAATCAAAATGGCCGACAGGCGGCCATATTAGATTTTGACAGTGAAGGTATGTTATGTCTTTTTTCTCATGAAGTTCTTGAGGGACCCTTGATCTGTAGTTGTCCATGTTATCTTTTGAGACTGAATGGATTAACAAAACGGCTGACCAGTTTTTGTTTCCTGTTTCTCCTGTTTCAGCTGAAGTAACCAGATTTGGTTTGCAAGTATGTCTAATTAGGATAGAAGAGTGCGGAGTACAAGGTGTACGTCATTGTGAACTATATCCCGAGATAGGTGTACAGCTTGGTAAACGAGGAAACCATTGCCTTGCCATACTTTGCCAGCTTGTGTATGACGTTAAGGGAGTACATAGCTCTAACACTGTTTCTTGGAATTGTTCTTGCAGTGGTGTCCACCCTGTATGAAGCTGTTGCCAGAGTTTAGGAAGGCGGCCAAAAGCTACGGAGAGATGGTCAACTTTGGCACGGTTGATTGTACCATACACGCTGACATCTGTCAAATGGTAAGTTCCGATACTTACTAGCTCACCTGGCCTGAAGGGCCAAGTGAGCTTATGCCATGGTGCGGTGTCCGTCGTCCGTCGGGCGTCGGGTGTCGGGCATTGGGCGTCAGGTGTCTGGCGTCAATATTTTACTTTAAACAACTTCTTCTTAATAGCAAGGCATAGGGTGATGATATTTGGCCAGAAGTAAACTGGGATGAAGGGCTACCAGGTTTGTTCAAATGAATGACCTTGAATTATATTTAAGGTCACAGGGGTCAAATATATTTGAAACTTTTAAACAACTTCTTCTAAATAAACAAAAGGTTCAGGATGTTGATATTTAGCAAGTAGAATGCTTGGATGAAGGGCTATCAAGCTTTATAATTTAAATAACCTTGACCCACTTTCAAGGTCACATTTGGTCAAATAATTTTAAACATTTAAATGACCTTATCTTAATAAATAAAAGGATAGGGTGGTGATATTTGTGAAGCACACTGTTAATAAAATCCTGCATCATCTGTAGCAAAAGTTGTGCATGCAGTTTGCCAAAATTTGATGTACAGGGGCATTGCCTACAGAAAGTGTATTTTGATTAGAGCACTATTAAGGATCCCCGTACCACTGCTAAAAACTGTAACTAAGTATTAGAAATTGTTTTTTTCGGGCATTACTATGGCTTTGATAAATCATTTCTGAAAAGAAACCAACACCTTGTGGGACTTAATTGAGAAATATTTAAGTACCGGTAAAGGTGAAATAAACAAAATATAATCATCAACTGTGTTCTGAGTGTGAAAATACATCCAGGTTAGACTGGGATTCGAACCCTGGACTTCAGATTGTTATACTATCGCTCTTATTGATTGAGCTACCTAGTCAAGGGAAGTGTCCTGGCCAAACTGTGCCACAGTTATATCCAAACGGAAGTTAAGGGGAGATAACTGTGTATAGGAAAATCTACAGTTCAATGGGATAGGAATCCTTAAGAGGAGACATATATTTGTGTAAATTAAATCTGTATTTACAGGTGAAGTAATCCATATATGTTTCTCCATTTCAGTACAATATCCATTCCTACCCCACCACCATACTTTACAATGCCTCAGTGCCTTTACAATACCATGGACATCATCGTGCCAGCGACTTGGGCGAGTTTATAGAGGATACTCTCAAACCTCCTGTGTTATCACTTGATTTCAATAGCTTTGAAATGCTGGTAAGACAGAAGGATGAGGGTGTGATCTGGATCATCGACTTCTATGCGTCATGGTGTGGCCCATGTCAACAGTTAGCCCCAGAGTGGAGAAGGCTTGCCAAGGTAGGTAACTCTGAAAGATATGTTTGGTTCATCAAGGTAGGCAGCTATTATTGATAAGGAAAGCTTACCTAGTTAAGCAACTCCTTTTCAATATAAACCAGGCACATCAATGTAAACCACTCTCAAAAAATTGTCTTATCGATAAAGCAACTTGGAATGGTAAACAAGACTTATCAAGGTAGACAACTCTTGAAGACAATCAACTTAGTCTCAGCAAGGTTGAGAAATATAGCTCGCCAAGGTAAATAACTCTTAACTCATTCACCCCTGAAATTTTGTAATGAACTATTCCAACTTTTATATTGAAAGAGTTCAAATGTATCTTCAGGGGTGAATGAGATCAGATAAAGATTTAAATTGTATGAAAATAGGGTTGATTTATTATGTTTTTAGCAATTAAAAAAAAAATCAAATCAAAACTTTCATGAATGTAAAATAAGTAGTTGCTTAATGTTAATGAAAGTGTATATTTGTGTTGTCATTTTTCATGTTGTTGGTACATGTATCAAATTTTACTGCTAGAAAATTAACCTTGCTTTTCTTTGACGATAGATGCTGAAGGATACCAAAAACGTCTTTGTGGCCCAAGTGGAGTGTCAGAAAGAGGCAATGCTGTGTCGGCAGGAAAACGTCAACTCCTATCCCAGCTTGAGACTGTACCCTGCCGATTCTCAGAAGGGCAGCGGTTCATTTTTGTGAGTGGTTGAACAATGAACAAACTTCATAAGAATTAGCAAGGTGTATTCTAAATACTTCTAACTTGTCATTAGGACAGTTTAACTTTCTTAGAATAAAATTGATGTGACCTGCTAAGACTTTTACAAAGGATAATGTAAAACTGGTATAAGCATAAACTTGATTAATAAATAAATTAATTAATATGTCCCTTGCTAAAATCAGCCTTCTTTTTCTTGAAATTGTCTATCCCCAAAATAAGTAAAACTGGGCCTGCTCAAATTAGCTGCTAGATAAACCTGTAAATAATCGTTGTAAAGTTATTTTTTGAAAATCAACATTACATTGCAGTACGTACAACGAGTGGCACAGAGACGCCCAGTCCCTACGAGCCTGGGCGTTTGAGTTCCTACCAAGTAAAGTAGAGACACTGCGCTACCACAACTTCCACCAAAAAGTGCTTTCCAGTTCGACTCCGTTCATCGTTGACTTTTACGCCCCATGGTGTGGACCTTGCCAAGTCTTCAAACCAGAATTTGAAAAAATTGCAGAGGTATATAGTACAACATGTAGTTATCAGTATTTTAAGTTAACGTTTTTTAGAAATATGTATTTTGGTTTTTCCATGTTTTTGGAAGCTGCCTACTGTCCTCCCTCACTTCACTCATGTTTGTGGATTGAGGGGGATTACCAAGTATGTTCTGGATGTTTCGGCACCCTCCTTTTAGAAATTGTGTATCCACCACTGTATACCATGTCTTACATACTGGTGACAAACATTGTATGTTCTGTAATCATAGACCAGCCAGATTGCACATATAACAGTTATTCTGAAAATAGTGTCTTTACTTCTTGTTTATATTTGGTTGTGTGTAAAATGGTTGAATTCAACCTTTGAACTTGACCTCTAGTGCTGAAATAGACTTTGTCAGAGCATATCTCTGCAACTGTTTCTTCTTTGTACTTCGGACCTTGTATGTGCACACATTAAGAGGAGGCACCCTGTTTCTTACAAAAGGGACAAGTTCCTGACCTCTATTTTGTTTTAAACATTGCATCAAATATACAAGTTATATCCAACTTAAATTAGACCTTTTCCCAATAACATTTTGTACACACCTACATATATCAACAACATGGCAAATTTTGATTTTAATTAATATTTCTAATTAAGTATAAACTTTAAGAGTGCTGAGAGAGAGAGAGAGAGATAGAGAGAGAGAGAGAGAGATGACCTCTATCGTTAGCGTATGACCTCTATCGTTAGCGTTCACCTCAACTCAATCTCAGTACCTTTCCGGAATAGACTTCAGATGCAGGTATACTATGAATACAGTTATTGCAACCTATTCTAAAAATCTCAGATGCAAACTTTGGTGTGGCCACTATTTCATGCGTGGTCAACTGACTTGGTATGTACCAGGTAGGTACATCTGACTTGGTATGTACCAGGTAGGTACATCTGACTTGGTATGTACCAGGTAGGTACATCTGACTTGGTATGTACCAGGTAGGTACATCTGACTTGGTATGTACCAGGTAGGTACATCTGACTTGGTATGTACGTACCAGGTAGGTACATCTGACTTGGTTTGTACCTGGTAGGTACATCTGACTTGGTATGTACCAGGTAGGTACATCTGACTTGGTATGTACCAGGTAGGTAAAGTTTATAAATACAGGTTTCTTCGCAATAGCTCACCGATAGTCGTCATACAGGGTATGCATGTACATCATAGGCAGTGTATGTGTGGCGTACCAAACTGGAGTCACTACATCGTTTCGTATATAAAAAAATATTTGTTTCAAGGTATAACTACAAAGCTCCAGATAAGAGCTAAATTTAGTAAAATCTAAAGAGAATTACAGCATGAATCTAGTATATCTGAAGGAAATGGGCCAAAATATTGAGAATTCCTGGGAAAGACTAATTGATATACCTGTTTGTATATTTAAGCAGTTAAGATGCTGCCTGTTGATTTACTGTTTGAATAACATAATTTTGACTTTTTCATAATCATGGAAGAGACAAGTATTATGATGCATGACTATAGTATATATCAATTCAGGCCAATGAAAAGCTCCTGTAGCTTCAGGAGGTGAGTTATCAAATTACTGTAAAAATTATTTCATAAACTTTATGTTTATGATATTAGAATCCCTGTTTTACAATGCCTCTCTAATTACAGACACTTGACGGTCGTGTGAAAGCTGGCAAGGTGAACTGTGATGAAGACCGTTATCTGTGTCAGCAGGCTGGTGTGTCTGCCTACCCCACAGTCAGGTTCTACAAGGGAGCACGCAAAGGCATGGCTCAGGTACTGGTCTCTGATGGAGTTACCTCCCTTGTATATTATAATAATGGAATAATAGTTACTTTGATAGACAAAATATTTCTTAACACATAAACACATGGCTCAGGTACGTGTCTCTGATGGAGTTACCTCCCTTGTATTCTATAATAACAGAAGAAGAGTTACAACATTTCTTAACACATAACACATGGCTCAGGTTCTTCAGTCTTTGAAAGTCATCTCCCCTGTATTTTAATGTTAATAAAAAAATAATTATTTTGATAAACAAAATATTTTTTAACACACAAATGCTAAGGCTCTGTAGTGTCTTCTGAGGTTATCTCCCCTGTAGTTGAGAATTGATTAAAAAACATTACTTTGATAGACAATTTTTTGTTCAGAACATTGATCAGTTGTGTTACTTTCAGTTTTAAATTTGTACTTTGTTAACAGCCTAGCTTTCTACGTTGGGTGGCGTAAGAATTGTACGTGCATGCTGCCCCCATTGCATGATCATAAGAGAGTCCAAATTTGGGATCTTATCTTTTCTCATCTTTCTAAACGACTTTCTTCTAACTAATGTCTCCCTTGACAATGCCTCACTTTTGGCATTTAGTTGAGCGTTTGCCTCTGTGAGAAAGGCTTTTGGTTCTGTCCCCTGCCCGGTCGAGACATACCAGAGTCTGTAAAAATGGTAATTTCTACTCCTGCTTCAGCAGTTTAGGAGTGGGACGACTGGTTCAGTATAATGTGACCGGGTGGGGTGTCCTGCAGGGTGTCTTCGGCATTATGTTTCAGTGAGGTGGCACTATAAAGTCGGCATCAGTTCCGCGCTATCACAAGGAGACAAACACGAACATATCGCAGCCTCCCAAAACACACACGCATACACTACACGCATGCATCTTGCCCACAGGGGAGGCCGTCCTTAAATGACCATAGCTGTTGATGGGACATTAAACTATACTAAACCAACAAACAAAAATCTACAGTGTTATTTAATTGAGAGAGAAAAAACGGAAGAAATTACAAACAGTCAGTTGTTTATGCAAAAAAGAAATTGTCAGGAGACTTACATAACCAATAAGAAATCAGAATTATCATGTGACCAGTCAGTCTTATCATGTGACTGATCAAACAATCATGTGACTTGTCATTAATTTGTCTAAAAACTATTTCTCTGTTGTTTTCTACTGGAATTAAGTATGAACCTGAAGAAAAAATATTTTAGAATAGATTGCTATTAGATGTAATTATTCCTGGTGTTTTCAGCACATGTATGGACAGGACATTGACTTCCTAGATGCTGATCAAATTATCAGATTCATCAAAGGAAGGATACCAGCAGTTCAAAAGGTAAAGTACTGTTGTGTGGAGCTAGTAGGAAACATATACCGTAAAAACCCATGTAATTTGCGCACTTTTTTTCCAGAAATTTAATACCCAAAGTGGGGGGTGCGTAAAATACACAGGTATAGAACATTTCAAGTTTTTTTCAGGAAAAGATCGACGATTCTGGGAGATCGCCATTTTGGATTATTTCCCTTGGTACACGTAACTCTAATTAAGACAAATGACGGTCAACAAATATATTTATGTCAAACATTAATAAAAGATACATAATGTGTTGTTATGTGAGTTTATGTGGAAAATATTATTAAATAGGTAACCGTTAACAAAAAAAGTGTAGCCAAATTCCTATGCCAGAGAATCGCCGATCAACTTACGACATTACGTTTCGACATCTCGGTGCGTTTCCCCATACTATTACGAAAATGTAGTTGTTCAATTTAAGCTCCGTTCCATGTAAGTTCTGTAAGTTTTTTTCAAATCGCCTATGCGTAAACGTATAGCATGTTTTTTTTCCGGCTCACTTTCATGTTGATCTCGCGTCTAACATTACGTAAACACGTGATTGATAATAACCTCGTGAATTATTTCAATATTTATTAAATGAAGCATCGTAAAAATAGTCTGCGTTAACTATTTTTTTCCTTGGAGTAGATTTGAAGAGGATGTATTGATTGTCCACGCTTCTAGTATAAACATATTTTTTATAATCCCTTATCAGTCAAATCAGTCTGTTATGACAATGCAGTAGGGCTTCGTAATTGACGCCACGTGTTGGTGAGTGAAAAAACAACAACACGGTCCGTCGATCGCGACTGCAAATCATTTCAATTAGTAGAGCTATTGTTAACGGGTAATCACAGAGATAGTGTTAGCTAATTACTGCATTGTAATTTGTAAAAAATATCGCCAAACCACGGACTTAGATAATCTTATTCCGTGGCCAAACTGAACTATGACATGACCTGGTTTGAAGTGACGTAACCCAAGCCGCCATGATGAGCGCTTCTCACTGATCGTAATTATGATCAATAAAAGGTATATAATTATGTCTTTCACCAGGAGATATGCACCAGCGGTTACTAAACATCGAATTACTTATTAATTGATATGTGTTTGTAAGCAAGTAAATGTTTTAGGTAAAATATTGCTAAAATGATTCGATGTATGCCGATATGCGCACACATGTGTGTCATGTGTGATCAGATAATTTAAAGAAAACAAGCAACAAAATACACATTTTACGTAGTTTCTTCTTTGTTTTAAATATTATTTTACATCAATGAAAAAAAATCATAGAAATATGTATATTTTTTTTATTTATGGATCGATTTTCGGAGCATGAACATCGTTTTTTTCCCAGATTTTTTGGGTGCGCAAAATATTCGAGTAGAAGCTTTTTTCACGATTTTCAGCCTCAAAAAGTACCTGCGTAAATTACACAGGTGCGCAAATTACATGGGTTTTTACGGTATAACACTGTTATTACAAATTTGAAAATTCAAAAAAAAAAAGAAAAAGAAAACACAGAATACAATTATGTATTTTATCCTTTTGTGAGGTCAATAGCAGGTTTATCTTCCTATATTTATATTTCCACTGCAAGTTCCTCTGTGAGCATTACAAGAAAAAAATGTGCTCATAGATCTATGAATGCGATTTGTTCAGCATCATTTTGAAGCTTCTCCTCCTGCCTTGATTAACATGAGACAACTGTTAGCAGCAAACATTTTGGTGATGTTTGCCTGTTCCAGGAGTCTCGTTTGCACTGATGACACAGACACTTTAATATAAAAAAATATATGGAAATATCTGTATTTAGGTCAATAATAACCAAACATTTAGAATGTAAATATAAGGATTGAATGGCATTTTATAAAATGTTCATGCCGGTATGAATGCAAATCAGTTACATACTTATTTACCATATGCCCTAGCAGGCTTCATAGACTATGTACCTGGTATGTAACCTACCTCAGGTATTTGCGTTTATACGGTTAAGAAATTGAGAAAGAAAAATGCTGTTTAATCAATATATGAAAATTGTATGGTGTAACCTTTTGTCGTCTGTGACAGGATGTCTGCTTGACCATTCACTTTGTCATAAAAAAATGGAAAAAGTCAACTTGTTCTCTATGATGCAATTCTGTTCCACTGATTCTTGACTACTGTATAAAAGTATTCAACAAATTTATAACAAACATGAACTCTCCAGTATTGAACAATTTATTTAGTTTTTGTCATAATAATACAAGTTAAATCAGAACTTTTATTGGATTTAAAGGGAAATACAATCTTCAGAGTTAAACTCTGTCTGTATTAAATTTGGCGATTTTATTAATTTGGTTATTTTGTTTGGATTTCAGACAACACATGACGAGCTTTGAAGACCTGTAATTGAGCAATATTATCCGGTTTAGTTTCCTTTAAGTGTTAAAATTGTTTAAATTTTCATTTACAGTTTCATCCATTAATAAGTTCAGCAAGCAAAACGTTTTCTTACATGTAGCTCGAGTCATCTGAACTGTGAGAAACTGAATCTCAAAATAGGTGCTGGATATAAAACCATTCCATTCTGATATTCTAGCTACCATAGTTATCCAGCAATAAGCCCATGCCTGGTAATAAGCCCATCCATACATATGGCAATTCAGCAGAAATGCCAACAAATGCTTTCTTTGTCCTGTAGTAAGCCCATCCCCTTGTTAAAGTCTGAGATAACGTTTTGCCCCCCCCCCACCCCCACCCTTAGGCTTATTGCAGGATAAATATGGTGAACACTATTATTGTAATACAAAGAAAGAAAATCAAAGAATTCCTGCATTTATTTATTGCAGTAAACATATCTAGTCTTCTCAAATTATCTATCAAAATATTTATAAATATCTTTTTCAAAACATTTCTTAAAGTATAGTTGTTTCATTGTTTGTTGTATCACAGTTAGACAGGGTCTTGTTGTTTTTGCACAACTTTTCTCTCACTTTATCATGTTTTAAGTTTCTTTGCCTCTACTCTTTGTACATTTCTATAGACTGGATGGGATACAGTTTGTAACATTTGGCTTCTTTTGGAGTAATTCTACCCAGTCTCCTTAAACTTGGAAAGCTAATTTATAAAGTGCCATTGTTAATGAAATTGTAAGTGTATTGAATATATAAAAAATATGTAATATTTGTAAATTGACTCATTCATGCTATACTAGTATAGATGTATTTATTTGAACCTTACTCATTGCATGGTTAAACATGTCATTATGTATACTATATTCCTCTTAATATCATGCTGAATTTGTCAGTGGCAAATGTGATATTAAGCAAACTGTGACATTATGAGAAACACTGGTTTTTTTTGTGAAAGTTAAAATTGTATGCTTTTTTATGCAACATTTTAAGAAACCGTTTGTGCACTTCTTGGTGTGCCGACATGACCGAAATAGCTTTGACAATGAAAATTCCTCTTTAACTAATTCACCCCTGCAGACACAATTGAACTCTTCCAATTCATTGAAATTTTAGGGGTGAATGAGTTAAGAGTTAGTTGGTCATGATCAGTTTTACACAAAACCAGGCTGTTCACAAGTGATTTATGTTTCGCATTCTAATTTAGAATATGATATTATAAGTAGATCATGTCAAATTACATGATATAACACAAACTATATTATATAAATCTGCTGAGAGAAAAACAGTGTTTTGTGAAACATGATATTAACAGAAATATGCCATTAAGCAGTGTGATAATAAGTGGAATCCACTGTAATATTAACAGTGTAGTTATTGTGTTTTAAATCTTGTTTTGTTTTCTGTAGAAATAGTGTTGATAGTGCAAGAGAAGAGAGCATATCCCCATAACATGTTAAACTTTATTATCATTTACTGGTTTTTTTTATTGTACGCCATCAGTTCATTATTGACATTGATCCGTTATGACATTTGATTGAAGAAGCCATAATGCATCCCAGCACCACAGTTTGTTTTAAATACCATTGAAGTAAATGAGATTTCATTTTACAAGGAATTTATGAGACATGTCTTGGAAGTTTGCTTACTAAATAAATCTTTCTGATATAATTTACAACGAAATGGAATTTCAAAATTTGTTTCCACAAATCCAAGAGTTAATTTAATATGAATATAAACAAGTTATTATCAATAACTGACATTTTCCTTTCAAAGAAAATAGTTATAATTTTAGGGATATTCACTACCTATTATTCTTTTTTCCAGAACAGTGTAGTATATATATTATGTTATGATTCAGAATGCTTGGGAGTGTCATAAATGCATTAGTTATTGCTATCTACTTGTATTGCCATTGAAATAAATGAGATTTCATTCTAAAAGGAATTTATGAGACATGTCTTTGAAGTTAAGATTTCCTCTGCTGTCACTATGTCACAGGCTTACTTAATACATTTTTCTGTTACAATGAACTTTAAACTATTCTTTCCTCCAGAATATTGTAACATTATATATATAGTAAATTAGGAGTGTCATTAATGCGTTAGTTATTGCTATCTACCTGTCAGGTGTGTCATCAATTAGGAATTTACCAAAGTAGAAATGTTATTGGTTTCTTTGACTCTTTTGAAAAGAAGATAAACAAGTCACATTAAGATTGCATATATATATATACAAATGCATCCTTTAAAAAGTTGAGTGAACTTCCTTAAGCTGGTCCATGTATTAAAGCTTCTTCAATCAATGGCCTGTTTTAGATATTTGTAGTGAGGGAGAGTAGATGTATGTTGACTAAATACAATGTTTCTGGTAGAAGGGGTTCATGTACAGTTTTCATTATAGATTGATTTTTAATACCAAATAGAAGAAGAATTACAAAATAATCTAGTCCCGATACAGGCTTTATGATAAGTTTTCTTTTTGAAAATCAATGATTAAGACAGACTTTATGTCAATGCCATATATATTTGCTTTAATTTGTTTTCCTTATTGTACAAAGAGTATTAATATTTAATTAATAATAATTATTTGCTGTTTAACAGGTAAATTTTGTAGTAATTTCTTCATCCTGTAGAAAATTTATCTTATATATGTTAGTAGAGACAATGATAACATATTTTAGTAATATCTTAATTCTGTAGAAACTTTATCTTATATATGTTAGTAGAGACAATGATAAATTATTTACGTACATAGAGGTAAACAATATCCAATGAACGATGACAAATTTGATTTCATATTCAATCAAGTTGGTTCATTCTTGGAAGTTTGTAGATTTTACCTGAAAATAAACTTAACGGTTGAATATTGAATAAATACTGAGTCATACTGCTCCTAAGGGGTGTTTGCAAATGTGAAAAACTGTACAATGCATAAAAAACGGGTTTTTTTTTTTTTTTTTTTTTAAAGAAAAGCAAGCTAGGAGTTTTCTGAATACCCAGAAACACCCTGATCTGTCACTGAATTACCATTAAACATCAAAGAATGAAAATGATCACATTTTGTTTCTCCATTATAGAATGAACATTAAAGCGTGAAAGGTGATAATGGTGTGTACATATAATACAGGCCCATACTAAATCTACAAATTATTTTTATTATTCCTGTCTTTATTTCTATAATTTTCTTTCACTTATGACATTCTGGATAATTAAACGAGAACCCAGAGCGACCTTGGTGCCCACCATTGTGCCACCTTCATTAGTTCTATGTCAGTTTGATCTTTTCTCTTCTTATCTCTTCTTTTCTCTTAGCGGTTTAATCATGTTGCCTGTCCGCCATCTTAATCAATCCTTCAATCAACCTCAAAAGTTAACATGTACAACTCTGGACCAAGGGGGACCTACATATCAAATTTGAGAAAATTCTTCCTGTAAATTCTGAGAAATAGTGATAACAAACTTAAACTGTAACAAGATGGCCGCCTGTACTCACATCTTGGTTTTCAGATCAGTAACTAAAAACGAAGAGGAACCCTTATGTGAACTTTGAGAAATATCCATCCAGTACTTTTTAAGCAAAATGGCTAAAAAATCTTTTACTCCGAAATTCAATATGACCACTTGCCAGTAATCTGGTTTTTCCAAGCATCCCCAAATTTTTAGATGCGGAACTAGGTAACATAGAGAACCTTCATGTGAAATTTGAGAAAGATCCCTTCTGAACATTCTGAGAAATAACGCTAACAAACTTTCAATCTCAAATCCAAGATGGCTGTCTATCAGCCATCTTGGTTTTTCCTTTTGTCCCAAAATTTGATATGGGTAACTTCGACCATTGGGAACTTTCATGTACAATTTGAGAAAGATTCCTCCAGTACTTTCTGAGAAATGCAGCTAATACGAATTAATTAAGGTGGACGGACCACATACGACTGATGACAGACGTTGGACGCAGGGTGATTTGATTAGCCCACCATCATCAGATGGTGGGCTAAAACTTGGATGTTGAAAAATTTATATCTAAAATTGTGAACATTTTGCCGTAAAAAATAGTGTTGTCCTCTCTTTAAATTAGATTAAGACTAAAGGGAAAAAGGGAAAAGTTCCTCAAGTATGTTTTTGTGAGAAAAATAAATTTAGTTAGAAGAGAGACAGATGAAATTAACCTTGCATTAATTTCAATGTTGATTAGGTTTAGATAGAAAAAATAGGTCAAAGTGGTTTCGGTGAATAAAGTGCTGACATAAAAATGAAAGGTCAAAGTGTGGATTTGAAAAATGTAACAGAAATGATAGAGGTATGTTTAGAGAGAAAGGTCAGTTATAGGGTGAAAGTTTGAAGGGTAAATGTCAGTCGAATGTTGCTGATATGTATTTAGTGACATGTCATATTGTGTATATGGTACATGTATATAGTATATAATGACAATATAGGTAACAGAAGCAAAAGGTCAAGGTCATATGATGTCAAAGTGAAAGGTAGAAATGTAGATGACTTTTTAAGCTATATATCGAGTATGGTTCATTTTTAGCCCAAGTTTCCTCTGGCCCTAGCCCAAATCTTCGACATTTTGACATATAGATGCCCGACACCAGACATCTATATCTCAAAATGTCTAAGTTTGGTGTTAGGGCCAAAGGAAACTCAGGCTCAGTTCTGAAGAATATAATATAATGACATCTTTGCTGATTTATGTGCATATCATTATCAACAATGTTTATAGATGGTAAGGATTGAATCGGAATAATGACTCCGTGCTCCGTGATAAGTTCAGGAAGCAGATCCTGACTTTTTAACCTTTTATACATATCTGTAAGTGTACACTTAAGTTCTCTGCACTACTTGAATAAGTCATGACAAAATCGAACGCATGCAGTTATAGCTATTTGATTTATTTCAGATAAAAAAAACCCAGATATATCGCCATGCCGTTACTTTTCCTGTAAACATTACAGAGAAGCAAAGCCTGACTTCACAGCTGGTTAATTTTACCGTTATGCTGCTGTATGATTCTTTTGCAGTACATCAAATGATCAAACTAGACAATTTGTAATAATCACAAGAGCCTTTGATTTCGTTATGACCTACTCCAGGATTTTAGAGAGCGTATGTAAGCTTAACCCTTTCACCCCCATGTAACTTTAGTAGACTCTACCATGTATTGATATGGATGAGTCCATTATGGTCTACAGTGGTGAAAGGGTTTAACTCAAGGAATTTTGAGGATGCTGTGTTTGTTGTGTTATGTGCTAGTCACAATATTTAAGTCTCAAACAAATTCCCATTATTAATTATATCATTTTTTGATAGAAATGGAAAA